ATTTTCTGTTATCTTGCATGTTTTATGAATCTATTCACGTCTAAATGCAGCACTTTTTTTTTGCAATGAGGCATTTGTTTTTATACTAAAATATCTGAATTACTTTGAATAAAGCTGGAAATTATGTCCCTTAAAATAATTAAACAAATAAGGCACAAATGTTTTTGTAAGATATTTACATCTTTAAAGGACATTCGGTAGACTGATTCCCCACTGTTAGCTCAACCCCAAAACTTTTTTGTATTCAAAATTAATTATGACAATGTATATTTATATTGAAACAAACTATGTTAAAGGGAATTATATTATATAACAAAGGGCAAGGTCACCAGAGTTCAACTATGTTTTTAATGTTGGTGTTGACATAAACTATTTGCAACATCATGGGTGTTAATATCACAGTGGCACAATATTTTTTGAAGTAAAATAGCTGCAGTAATGCCAAAAGCCAAAAAAAAAATTTCCCAAAATATTTGAACATTTTGTTTTATTTCCAAAAAATTTCAAATTTTGTTTTCAATCCCCCAAAACATTTGATATTTTATTTTAATTTCCCAAAAAAAATTTTCTTGCTGCTTAAAATCATATTTTATGTAATAAAAAAAAAAATATACATTTGCTAAAACGTACATACTGTAATCTGCATTAGAAGCTGCGGATTCTATTAAAATGGTAGAATGCAACAGATAGGATGCGGCTTCTATTAGAACATCTACACATGCGAGAAATAATGAATTGTTGGTTCTCATTTATTCAAAAAGAATGGGTGCGCGACGTCTATGAGGGATGCGGCTTCTAATACAGATTTTACGGTACTTTTTGTTAGTTGATTCTTTCTATTGAACATTTGTTAATAGGTTAATTTATTTTACAGGTGCTGAAGGCTCCCACTGATAGAAGAATCTTTGTCCTGGCCGCAGCCTTGAAAGCCGGTTACAGCATTGATAAGTTGTACGACTTGACTTGTATTGACAAATGGTTTCTGTATAAATTCAAAAACATCACAGACTGTACAACGAAATTAAAAGAATTCAAGTCGCGTGATTTAGATTCTGACCTTCTGCGTACTGCCAAACAGTTGGGATGCTCCGATAAACAGATTGCAAAGATTATCGAGAGGTCTGTGAAAGCTGCATGTATTTTTTCTCGTCGTTTGAGTTATTCAAATCGCTCATTTCTATATGACTGTTGAAGCATTTGTAAAAAAAAAACTTGTGTTGCTAGTATTACTGAATTTCAACAATCTTACAATTTCAAGTTCTAGTTTTTGTGTTATTTTATACACTCTATAACATTCGTTTCAAATGGCATGCGATTGCATATTCACAAAGTAATAAGTAGTAAGATCTTGTAATCATGGTCATTGTTATTGTCATTTCGAACACAATCCTGTGATTATACACCTACAAAGAAGATTGATTTGGATAAAAAAAATAAGTATTTGAAAATGAAAATAGTGACAGATACATTAATAACTGTTTTGGCATTAAACAAATTTCTCCAGGGCATTATTCTGACAATAAACTTCCTAGGGATTAGGGTTAGGGTTTATTTTATTTAACACTTTATTTAAAGAGATCAAAATACAATACATTAAAAATTCAACAATATACACACAGCAAAGTGATTCAGTTTGGGTTGAAAATATCTGTACTGTACTGCATGTGTGACTCAAACTGGTGCTCACGTACAGCACCTAATCGCCTAGCTACTCATCTTCACCTCGGCCACCGGGCATCCCCCAAAAAAGGATGCTTAATAACCGAGCTTATCACGTGCAGAGAACATGAAACCCGTCCACGCAATTCGCACCACACACCGTAGCCAGATTGTGGCAAAGGCCTTCAGATCTGGCTGTACTAAATGGTAATTGAATGCGTTATTAATGTACAGCCTGTTGTAATAGTTGAGTAACAACGAATTTTTTTCCCTGCTATTATAGTACTGAGCTGGCTGTGAGAAAAGCTAGGCTGGCTGAAGACATTGTACCTTTTGTCAAACAAATTGACACAGTAGCAGCGGAATGGCCAGCCCAGACGAACTATCTGTATACGACGTACAATGCTAGAACCAATGACTTGAGTTTCCCCGGTGGATATGTGATGGTACTTGGATCTGGAGTCTATCGTATTGGTAGCAGTGTTGAGTTTGATTGGTGTGCTGTTAGATGCATCACAGAGCTCAGAAAAGTAATTTACTTTATTCTTGTATCAGTATTGTGGCAACCTCCAATTTCAGTTTTTGATTTGAGGAGGGTGACACAAGGGATGAATTTGGGCATGTCGCTAAATACTGGAAATACTTGATTTTCGCTTGGAATTGATTTTCGCTGAAGGGATGATTCAGTAAAAATAATGTCTAGTGAATACACCTTTTTTCCAATATTTTACATTCAACTAGTCAAAAATCGGTAAAAATAAATTCATACAAAACACCCAAAGCGTCTTTTCAGTGAAAATTAATTCCAGCTAAAATATATTATTTTACAGTAGTCTATTTTCTATTCTCTGTGAAAGCCTGCGTTATATGAGAAATTGAATGTAAAAACTGGACAAGCAAAGGTCATAGCATTGTAGTAGCATACACTGCATGGGATAAGACTAATTCGAAACAATTTTTGGGTTATTTCCATGCTCAGAAACCTTTGATGGTTAATATTTAGCGGAGCTTATCATATGAGTGATTGTCCGGTGTCGTCGTCCGTGTCAATGTTTTACTTTTTCGACTTCTTCTTTAAACTACAAGCCTGAATGCTTCGATACTTGGTGTATATGTACCTTGGGTAGACCTCTCTCAGATTTGTTTATTTCATGATCATATCTTCAATTCTCTAATTTTGGTGAATATTTTTGTAATTTTTGGTAAAAAGTGATATTTTCGACTTCTTGTTGAAAACCACAAGTCTGATTGCTTTTATACTACATATATAGGTATTACATATGGACCTTGTTAATTTCGTGGTGATATCTTCAATTACTTAATTTTGATGGTTATTTTTGTCATTTTTGGTGAAAAGTGATATTTTTGAATTCTTGTTGAAAACAGCAAGGTCCGTTGCTTTGATACTATACATATTGTTCATTTTCTAATGATATCTTCAGTTCTTTAATTGAAATGTGCATTGCTAACAGCGGAGCTATCTCAGCCGACAGGCTGCTTGTTTTTTACTCGAATCCCAGTGACTTTGCTCGTACAACGTTAGTAAATTTTACAGAAGTCTTGAATTTTTTTTAAAGTTCTTAAATATAAAGTAAAACTTGCCCATGACAGTAGTGCTGCTGGTAATGTTGGTTTTCTTTGCATTATAGTCAGAACATGGCTTGTGCTCCATTCATCTTGCATTTAATCTGAGATGTGCGTAAATGTTTGTTTTTTAATTATTTCATTTATTTAGTGATTGCAGACCAATACAGCAATTACTTTTATCCCGAGAAATGGAATATTATTACAATATTTGTCGTATTTGGAACATATTTCCATGGAAACTGGATTAGTAGCAACTGCAGGCATATCTATGGTCAAAATAAGTAATAATTGGATGACCCAGTAAACAGTTATTTAAATACTTTATTTACATGCACTTCCATGGGAAATGTGCTTTTATTGAGCAAATACAGAACATGCATGTATTTAAAAAAAAGTATTCAGACATGCTCGAGGTGTGTAAAAAGATGAATGTCACTGACAATGACTTGTTTACATTGAACTGTACAAGAAATATTGTTTTTTTCGTGTTTTAGCTTGGTCGGAAAACCATTATGGTGAATTACAATCCAGAGACGGTCAGCACAGATTATGATATGTGTGATAGATTATACTTTGATGAGTTATCGTTTGAGGTAAGCCCTAACTAAACGCTAAAAAGACACGTTTGAATTTAGTAGACAATGTATTCCGATGAGTATGCACGTTTCACACGTTTTATATTGTATGGGGGACCATATCGAAAAATGATATGGTGTGTGATGGCTAGCGGTGATTGAGGTATCGTTTGAGGTAAGCCCTAACTAAACGCTAAAGTGACACGTTTGAATTTAGTAGACAATGTATTCCAATGAGTATGCGCGTTTCACATGTTTTATATTGTATGGGGGCCAAATCGAAAAATGATATGGTGTGTGACGACTAGCGGTGATTGAGGTATCGTTTGAGGTAAGCCCTAACTAAACGCTAAAGTGACACGTTTGAATTTAGTAGACAATGTATTCCAATGAGTATGTGCGTTTCACATGTTTTATATTGTATGGGGGCCAAATCGAAAAATGATATGGTCTGTGACGACTAGCACTTTAAGTTTTTCTTTTCAAGGTAAACATCAATTAAGGTTGTGATCTATGAATAATTGTCTTTATGTTTTTATTTAATTGCATTGCAATCCAAGTGCTAATCATGTAACTATTGCCATAACATTACATAATTCCATGGCGTTTTACGCAAGTCGGAATGCAACCACTCATGATTTATTTCCTCCTCAGACTGTAATGGATATTTACGAATGGGAAAACCCGCAAGGTATTATCTTATCTATGGGAGGACAGCTACCGAACAATATCGCCATGTCGCTTCACCGACAGAGATGTCGTATTCTGGGAACAGAACCGGAGTCTATTGATAACGCTGAGAATAGATTCAAATTTTCTCGTATGTTGGATACGATTGGTATTGAACAACCTTTGTGGAAAGAACTTACTGATTTGAAAGTAAGGCTGTAGTATTTTTGTGTCTGTCATGAGAACTGAGTGGTTAAAGCTTTTTTTGATAACAATCTTTGCCTGTTGATAAAATTAAACTAACAGTAGCTGTGATTTTAAAAAAAATTTGGGTTTTAATTGATCATTTAAAGATGATCAAATCTCACCAAAATATTGTGTTTGACACAATTGCATATATACAACTAAGGAATGGGCAGTCACCATTTTGTTGAATTCAATCACGTAATGGGGACAGTGGAAAATAACACATAATGGGAAATGACGCCAGTGACCAGCCATCTCAGGATGACAACGTATTTGAAATTCCACCCAGGGCCCCAGTAAAATGTCATCTTGTGCCGTAATTTCTGAATGGTGCCATCTGGAGTTGTAGGTGTAACATCACGGCCATCTTTTTTCACTTGCAAGTGATTTAATGTATAATGTCGATATATAGCATACATGTATCTGCTATGCTTTGAAGGTCCACATTTCGGTGTTAGTCATTACAAACATACAGTAATGACACAGGAAATGCTCTATTAAAAATAAGAATTGTAGAAGAAAGATAATTACAGATATTATCACTTTTAATAAAATTCCAGTTATTGCATTTTGTGTCTTCAAATCATCATGGTTTTCCTGGCACTGATTAACTGATTGTTGTGATTTTTCAGACAGCAAAGCAGTTCTGTGATACCGTAGGTTATCCTGCTCTTGTCAGACCATCCTATGTTCTTAGCGGTGCCGCAATGAATGTAGCGCATTCTCACACTGACTTGGAAACGTATTTAGGGGATGCTGTAGCAGTCTCCAAAGACCATCCAGTTGTCATTTCAAAATTTATACTTGAAGCGAAGGTAAAAAAAATTCTCAATTGTTTTACGTTTAATGTTTGTTCAACATTCTTAGCACACTTAAAAGGTTGGATTTAATATTCTAATGTTTCTCACAATTTGAATTTTAGGAAATTGATGTTGATGCTGTTGCTCGTGACGGTGAAGTCCTTGCTGTCGCTATATCTGAACATGTAGAGAATGCTGGTGTTCATTCAGGAGACGCCACCCTTGTCACTCCACCTCAAGACTTGAATCAGGAAACCATTGACAAGATATGGATTATAGTCACTGCTATTGGCAGACATTTAGAAGTCACTGGACCCTTTAACATGCAGTTAATTGCTAAGGTAGGAGACTCCCTATGTTAGTGGGAGTTACTCATTATGTTGTCACATAATGTACATACTTTTTAAACATTTTTTTTAAAATGTTCTAGTCTTGTTGCAAATTTAGAAAATTAAAGAAACATGCAAAATGTTACTCAAAAAATTTCACACCGAAAAAAAATTATAATTTTCTTGGATATACAATTTGATTTATTTCTAGATTTCGCAATTCATCCTAAGGTTATCATGAATGAAAAAGCGATAGGTGCATGTCGTGGAGGCTTAGAATAATGCATTCGTAGTTATATGACATTGGGTCAGAATATATCAATGACAATTTTAATGACAATTTCTAAGCATTGTCTACACACAATAGTGATCTGACACGGTTCAAAAATCCATTAGTCATTTTTAATATTTATAAATTGTGTAACATGTATGCTGAAATGAAAATTGGACAATGTGTCCATACACTTTTTATCAATTGAGATATCGATCTTTAATCAATCTTTTTTTATTGCTTTGATCATTACAGGATAACAAATTAAAAGTTATTGAGTGTAATTTACGCGTGTCAAGATCCTTCCCGTTTGTATCTAAAACATTGGAACACGATTTCATCTCTATGGCGACCCAAGCCATAATGGGAGAGCACACTGAACCGGTCAAATGCATATTTGGCAATGGCACCCGAGTGGGTGTTAAGGTAAGTCTGCTACTTGTTTGTTACCTTAGCAACCATACCAATTATATTCCCTTGTTATAACTGTTAAAGCACTGACCTAATAAGCTGGATATACATATGTAATTTTGAAATTGACGATCTGTCTTGGTTGAACAGAATAAATAAACCAAAAAGTTTTTCCATCTCCATGAGTCTTGAGTTCAGGAAAGTTTTTCTGTTTAAAGACTTCTATGAACGAAACACCTTGTGTACCAAACGAAGTTCTCAGTACATTTGCTGTTCAGTTCAATTCAGTTACGTTTCCCCATAATTATTATCATGAAACTTCTGATTTTGATTTTTCGTATGAACAGTATAAATTCGATGGTAGTTTGTGAGTAACTCTGACAGGAAATTTTTGTTTCCTTGCAGTGCCCAGTGTTTTCATTTTCTCGTCTCGCTGGAGCTGACTTCATGTTGGGTGTCGAGATGTCAAGTACGGGTGAAGTCGCCTGCTTTGGTGAGAATAGATACGAGGCGTATTTGAAAGCACTGATCAGTACTGGATTTATCATTCCAAAGAAAAATATCCTACTCTCCATCGGTAGCTATAAAGTAAGTGGACTTTAATTAAGACAGCATGTTCACTTGACATTCATTGGTTCATGATTTTTGTGGGTCACTATAGAAAAGTGGAAAATTGAATGAGTGAATTTAGACTTCAACAGCATTATACATTGCGCTGCAGCATTCCGTGTTTGATTTGTCAACCTTGGGGATGGGTCTGATAGTTATGTCCCCTGTCATCAAGTACATGTAGAAATGTTGGGAGAACATTAAATCAATAAATTGAAGCCTCATTTTCACAATCGATATATGCTTTGCTCTCAAATCTTTTTTTTTTTCAGAGAAAGTAAATTTATTAGTCCCCATTCGAAAAGCAGACTGACTGCCATTTTGTTTTAATGAATACAGTTCTAGTGCTATATCTCTGCCATGCTTCGACTGATTATGATCAAATTGTATATATTCATTATACATCATGACAAGTATTTCTGGCATTACAGAACTGAATCTTGGGTTTATGGATGGAGTTACGGGTTCCTGATGCATGTCAGGATGGCTGACTGGTGGTCATTTTGTTTAAATGAATGCGCTTCTTGAACCACATCTCTGATATGCTTTGACTGATTATGTTCAAATTTTATCCATACTATATTATATTATATTATA